CGACCGGGTCAAGTAGGGGACCCGACCGGGTCCAGTGACTTTCTTGGCAATTTCGTCTATTAAATCCTACCCGACCGGGTGGGGGTTTCTACCCGGTCGGGTTTTACTGCTGGGCAGTCAAATTTCTTATTTTCTTCTCTTCAAAGTCTTCCTTTCCAACACCACAAATCCTAACTATACTTTACAACTTATAAAAAAAGACTAAAATACAATTACAACTGAAATCACATAAATGTTTACAAACTAAATAAAACGTCAAACAATCAACATAAATCAAACATAAAAACATATATATATATGCACTACTAATTAGTGTGCATCAAACACCCCCACACTTAAACCTTTACTCGTCTCGAGTAAATCAAATCCGGTCCAAGATGTCCTTAAAATGACAAGAATATCAACACACACATCCACTAGTGTTTTTAGAAACAACTAAAGTATATCCTTAAAAACATAACAGTAAAGAGGGTCTTCAACTCCATATTTCTTTATCAACCTCAACCTTTTTTTTCGTTACCCTTAGGATCCTGCAGAAATAAAAGAAAATACTTTCTCTTGTTCTCTCATTTTGCCTAGGTGCCCTTTCGGGTTTTCATCCCAGCTTCCCACATTTTTCTGTTTTAATCCTCACAACTCACTCTTATTTTTGCTTTATTTTTGCTTAAGTTGCCCTTTCGGGTTTTCAACTTAACAAGCTTTTATAATTTTTTTTACAAGAATAAAGAGTATGAATGTGAGTATTCCATAAAACTCTCCCCCCAAGCTAATCAAAGCACTGTCTCTAGTGCTTGTGTCTGAGATGAATGTTTTTTTTTTCTTTTTGGTTACTTTTTGGGAGGTTTTGTTGGTGATTCGTGGGTGTGGAGATGAAAAGGGTGAAGAGGTGATGAATGAAATAGGTTTAATTGGTGGATGGATGTAGGAGATATGAAGCTTTTGACTTTTGGAAATGGAGGAAATTTGGGGTGTGGTGCGAATGGGAAGAAAAGAAAATGGGGAAGAAAAGCTGTCCGCCCGCACCCTTATCGGGCTTTTGCCCGATCGCCCGACCGGGTATAGTGACTGACCCGGTCGGGTGTAAGCTGTTCACCCGAGGCAGAGAGTTTTTTGCTGGGTTGCCTGGCCGGGTATAGGGGTCTACCCGGTCGGGCGGTTGATTTATTCTTTGTTCTTCATCTGCCACGCCCGGGCGGTTGGTCGGGTGCTGTGTTTTAAGAGGTAACCCGACCGGGTAGGGTTTTTTACCCGGCCGGGTTCAATCCCAGGCCCCCCCTTTTTTTTACGCACACACGCTCTACTGAAAAAGTATAAAGGAAAACATATCTTGCATGGGTTGCCTCCCAAGAAGCGCCTTATTTTACGTCGCGGCACGACGCCATCATTGTGTTCAGTCATTCAAACTTGGATCATGATAGTTTATTTTTTTCATACTTTCACTCCTAGGACGTTCATAGGAGTGCTCAACTTCTCGACTCTTCAATTTGAGAATCTTTCCAGGATCAAATATCCAGATTGTCATTGATTCATGCGGTGGGAGGAAAGGTAAGAACTTATCGTTTACCATGGTCAATGAAAACGGTTTTGATCTTGGTGGCATGAGAGGGGGTATCAAGTGTTTACTTAACTCCACTGTCATTTCCCGCATATTTGTGAATGAAAAGAAATCTAAATGATACTCTCTCGGTTTATTCGCAACTGCGACAAGTACATTTGAATTACCCTCACATTCGCTGAGGATTTCGTCTCTGTCCTTCTCTACCCTTTGTGTTTCCCTTAGAGCCTCAGGAAATGGTGGCATGATCTCAAGAATGGCCGGTGATGGAGTTGATTTTTGAGGTTCTTCCTCTTCCGGTTGAGCTTTTTCTGCAGGCTCCTCTTCTTCCTCCTCCTCGCGGATGTAGTTCACAACGCTTGGCATTTGCTTTATTTGATTCTCCAAGTTCGATTCGTTGGACACTGTTTCTTGCGGGCATTGTGACATAGCTCTTTACATACTCGTCACGTTGATAGTGAGGGCTCGGACCATGTCTTCAGTGGACATTCTAGAATAAGAATTCGCGTACATGTGATCTCCCTTCGGTAAATTATATGTGTCGGAGAACAGATCATATTTCCTTTGGGAACCAACATCATCAGCTTGTTGAAAGTATTCTTCCTGGAGCTTCGGACAAAAATCCGTAATATGCCTATGAGACATGCAAATATTGCATGTCTTGACATCTTGAGTTTCTGAGCTTAAGATAAACTCCTTTATGAGAGAAGCCAAAACGGAAATTTGACTCTTTAAGGATGATGTGTTGGTATCCATATACTCATGTAAGCTCAGAAAATATATATTTTTTTAAATTTTTGTTTTTATTTTTTTTTTGTTTTTGATTTTTATGAGATAAAATAAAAAGAAAAATAATTGCCTCTCCCCGGCAACGACGCCAAATTTGACGTGCACTTATCGTGAGGTGCACTCAAAATAATTAATCAATACAACACTTATACGTAGTATAGCGTAGTAGAGTTCGTATCCACAGGGAAAAGAATAATTCTCTTTTTATGAAACTTAGTAAATAAAAGGGGGATTTGAATTGAGTGATTTAATTCAATTAAGAACTAAGATGAACAACCTATATGTGTTTATTTCAAAGATAAAAAGGACTTGGCATTGCTACATTCCACTTGTTGATATATTTTAGTCGATCATTGTTATATCTATAACTTATTCCCTCTCGAATGCTCAATCGGGGAGTATATCCACTTCATCGAGGGTAGTTATTAACAACAACTGTTCATTAATAACCCTTACTATTAATCAAATATAGAACAACGCCTTATACCGATTTAATAGTAGCATTTAATCTTTCTAACTCCTTAATGAAATCAATTGAGATTGATAACCTCGACACAACGGTTTCGGTTTAACCAACAAAACTAATCCCTCTTATGTTTATTAACCACGACCGTGCATTAATAAACCGAAGTTACTTACTTGTGAAACCATCAACGATTAACCATCGGTTCGTTGATCGTTTCTAGTAATAATTAATATATGAAACAAAACTAGTTGATCCTTTAAGTAATGTTCAAAATATTAATATGAAATATGAGTAGGAATTAATTAATATTCAAGGAAGAATATTATTAAAGAAAATGAATCCTACTATAATTAATATCAAGATGTTAACTAATTGTCATCTTAGCAACACTCCCCAACATTAATATAGAGGAAGAAAATATCATTCTAACTAATGTCGAGATGTTAACTAATTGTCATCTTAGCAACACTCCCCAACATTAATATAGAGATGGTATTAAGGAAAGAACTATTAATTAATATTCAAGGAAAGAAGTTAAGAAAATAACTCACAACTTTAATAATCAACAAGCTTCAAGAGCAACACCAAGAATGGAAGTTTAGCTCCTCATTTGGAGACTAAACATAGCTAGAAAAATATAAAGAAATGCTATTCTAAACTGAGCTAAAAAGTATGGAAGAAGGGATGTTTTTTAGAGAAGAAAAAGAGTGCTATTTATAGGTTTTTTTTAACACCTTTGGCCGGGTACCCGACCGGGTCTAGTACTTACCCGACCGGGTCCGGTCAAAATCAGATAATTCCCCACGTTCTGGTGATCTTCGCACGTCGTTTTGTCCCGGGTCACATCTGACCCGACCGGGTCAAGTAGGGGACCCGACCGGGTCCAGTGACTTTCTTGGCAATTTCGTCTGTTAAATCCTACCCGACCGGGTGGGGGTTTCTACCCGGTCGGGTTTTACTGCTGGGCAGTCAAATTTCTTGTTTTCTTCTCTTCAAAGTCTTCATTTCCAATACCACAAATCCTAACTATACTTTACAACTTATAAAAAAAGACTAAAATACAATTACTACTGAAATCACATAAATGTTTACAAACTAAATAAAACGTCAAACAATCAACATAAATTAAACATAAAAACATATAATTATGCACTACTAATTAGTGTGCATCAATAGCAAACCTACCATATACTTGGCAAATAATACAGTTTCTCATGGGTGCAACAAACATATAGAGACGAAGTATCTTTATCTGATAGATAAAAGTTAACAAAAGGAATGTATGGTCGCGGAGATGCGGTGACATCAATTGTCCCAGCCTGTTGATGTAATTGAAACATGGCACTTTATCTGTTCTATAAGAAGGGAAAAGACATGTCACACTATCAGTGATTTCTTTTGGTGTAACGTTAAGGTCAAGTGGTATCAGAGCCTAAAGTCACAAGTTCGACCCTTCACAGAAGCATGTTGCACAGTTGAGGATGACAGGTGTTGGGGGATTGTTGGGCGGGGGGATGCCATGACAAAAATTTTGCCAGCGTACAAGTGCAATCGAAACATGATGTTTTGTATGTTTTGTAAGTGAGAAATGTGTGCTACACTATCAGTGATTGCTCTTAGTTTAACCCTAAGCGCAACAATCCTCAAGGAAGATTTTTGTGAAGCATTGCAAGAGTGAAGTTCACATTGCATATGTAGTGACCAAGTCTCTTAGAGTGGACAGATTCAGGGAGATCATAGTGCCTTAGAGTGGACAGATTCAAGTAGATCATAATTAGATGACTTTTGATTGTTGTTGTTCGTAACTTTTAAATTACAAATGACGGTTAATTAATCGGTTTAATTCAAAAGTTTGTTCAATAGTTAGTTAAAGAAGTTGTTAGTCAATTTGTTTTTCATTATATATAGTTGTAATCTCTACCTTGCATACATGAAGTTCATCATCTTCCCTAATAGGCTTATACCTTATACACCCTTGTGGTGGGAATCTTTCCCGGATCGTCGATTCGTCACCTTGTGGGGTGTCTTTCGTGCACCGGACGGCACTTTTTATCGTTCATTTGTTTGAGTAGATTAAGTTTAGAGAATCACGTACGTACTTTTTGTGATGCGATGCTCACATATTGTTGCCCTAACTATTATAAATAATAATAAAGGGGTTATGTCTAAAATATTACTAAAAAAAGGATATGGACAAAACGTGACTTTTTTATATGTTCCAAAAATGTGATAAAAATAGTAAAGGGGCTGTTACACCGTTACTAAGCCCAAATCCAACAGCCTACTACAGTGACCAAAAGTGCAGTGACCAACGTCAACTATTGTCACAGTGACCACTTACACATATACCCATTGACAATAACATGTATGTCCAGTGACAGTGACACATATGTCAGTGACAGTGATACATACTCTTTCACAGTGACCTACCGTGGACTTTGGCCACAATAACTTGATGTGGCCGCCAATTACCCTGCCGCCTTCTCCGATGACTTATTGGCGCCAATGATAGTTACTCTAGCAACAATAACTAATATATACTCCCTCCGGTCCTAAATAAACTTCACACTTTCCTTTTTGAGTAGGTCCAAAATAAACTTCATACTTCTTCTCCCTTCCTTATTTGGCAAATTATCTACATCAAAACAGTGCAAAACAGTGTAAGACAGTGTCAAACAGTGCCAAACAGTGTCACAACAGTACAATAAAGTCAAATTTATTTCCTTAATTTGTGTGAAGTCAAAGTGTGAAGTTTATTTAAGACCGGAGGGAGTATCAATTAGAGTTACTCCCCTTCGAGTGATCTGATTTTCAAAGAAATTTACCAATTACACCACTGCTCACTCCCTCGTCGCACCGCTCTCCTGGCTACTAGCCGCCGCCCCGCAGGCAACACGACCATGCCCCACGGCATCATTACACTCCCCATGTCCACACGCCTTATCCTCCTCCCCCAACGCCCTATCCTCCTCCACTTATCCCTAGCCTCACACACTGCTCGGAAGGCTGCAACCTGCCTTCTTCCCCCTCTACGGCTCCGACCAACCCGGCCAAAGTTCCGACCAGCCCAACCACAGCTCCGACCAGCCCCACCCAGCCCTGATTTGCTCCGACAAGCCCCACCCAACCCCTGATCACCCATCCCCAGCCCGTCCACCACCGCACGACCTAATCAGCCTAACCCAAAACCTAGCCAACCTACCAGATCTGGAATGTAGCCGTATGCAATCGAGCAGCTGCAATGACACTATAGCCTAGCCGGAATTATCCTCGTCTGTTCACCACCTCTGCCACATGCCCGCTCGGATTTACCCTATTTGCTCTCAAACAGAAAGCGAAGAAAAAGATTGGTAGTTGGCATGGAAGTGCAATGGAAAAGACTATCGGAGGCAGGCGACGAAGACAGAGTGGGGAGGCGGCGAAGATGGAGGGGCGGCGGCAGAGATGGATGGACGGCGCTACCTACACATGAAGCAGAGAAGGTCGTAGACCGGGATTGGTGATTGAAGATTTGATGCCATCTTCAAAGGAGCTTAAGTGTTGCGTCGATGGCGTGAGCCGCTGAGTGCATTGAAGAGAGAGGTAGAGGGAAAATGATTTAGGGTTTAGGTGTAATAAATCAACTTTACAAAGGAGGGTATTTTCGACTATCTGTTCTATTTTTAGTCACTTATTTGTCCAACCGAAAAAGCAGTCTTATTCCGGCCCTAAATCATTCACAAATAGCACTAAATATTATTTTTTTACCCTAAATACCTCTAAGGGTATTAATTCCTAATGAAATGTTTTAATTCATAGTAAAATTGTTAAAAATAATAAAAAATAATAAAATATTTATATAAAAAAAAAATTAAAACATATTTTTTAAAAATTAATAAAAATCCATAAAAATGAATGTCTTTCTCATTGCCTCCACTAGCTTCCTCCCCGCACCACCACCTCAGACCGTTGTAAAAAAGGTCAAGAAAATGACATATTTCTTTTTGATAATGCCAAATTTCATTGAAACTGTCAATAATATGACATTAATAATGCATGTGGCATTTTTTCCAGGGGTGGCAGTCTGGCAGAGGCGGCAACGATTTATATTTTTACGCTTTTTTATTTTTAATTTGTTTTTTTAAAATACTTTTTTAAATTTTTAATTTTATAAATACTTTATTAATTTTATTATTTTTTACGATTTTTATTATTTTTATAATTTTATTATGAATTAAAACATTTCAAAAGCTACAAGGGTATATTTCTCACAAATATTAATCCTATTTGTTACTCTTGACTACCTTTTACTCCTATTTAGGTAATTAAAGTAAGGTGAATGTTACCATATGATGGTCCCTGATAGAGGTAAAAGTCTATGGGGGGGGTGAATAGACTTTTAAATATTTTTTAACTTTAACAATTTTTCTCTTCTAGATGAGTTGACCTATAATCTTTTGGGAGATTTATAGATACACAACGGAAGTCTTTAACCTCTAGATATTCAGTGTGTGACAACTTTCTAGCTTGGATGATGTTTGGACTTAAATAGTGAGCAGTTGGCTGGATGGCAGGGAACTGCGGAGGCAACGACTGAGGAGAGATTTACTGTATGATGAAGGCAAAGATAGAATATTGTTTAGAATGATGAGATCTTTATGAAAATGTGCTGAAATGATTTACAATTGAGAGTTTATGAGAGCAGTGGTCTGGGCCGTTGAGTGGTCTTTAGGGAACTGCTGAGTGAATTGCTTAAGGAAAAATGAATATATGGAAAGACTGATTTTATAATCTTGCTCAGGGTGATTAGAGCTTTCAGGAAGTGTGCTGAGATGATCTGGAGTGGAAGTTTATGAGAGCAGTTGGCTTGGCAGTTGGCTGGTCACGAGGGAACTGCTGAGACAACAGTTGTGCAACAAATTGATTTTCAGAGATCAATTTGAGTAGACTTTTTAGTAGTGATGTTGCAGGGCCTTTGTGAGAAAGTTGTCTCAATGAAAGTAAGTAATTAAGCAGTAGGATAAGCAGTAAGATCAATTAAGATTACTGCTTAGGATACTGTTGGCAAACTATAATCTTTTTGTGAGAAGTGTTGGGTGTGTGCTTTGTTGAATGAAAGTAAATCAACACACAATATATCCTGGTTCAGAGGTGGTGTAATCCTCCTACGTCCAGTCCCACCCTCTTTCAGATGGATTTCCACTAAAGTATTAAGCCCAATACACTTAGTGTCAATCTAGCCTTTACAACACTTAGGCCTAGATTGAAGGTGTTTCACAAGGAGTACAACACCACTCCAAGTTACTCAATCCTTTAGAATTTTCTCAATTGATCCAGTGGGGATCAAAAGGTACTCTATCTATCTATCCACACTTAGGACTTGATAACACAATCCTTCTATGTGTTTACAACAATGTTTTGTGATTTGTTACAAGAAAGTTCTAACCTCTAACCAGGAACTAAACTTCAAGAATTTTAGCAATGAAGACTTGTAACTTAGAAGTTTAGTGAAGCATGAATCCAAGCAGAGAGTAAAGTTAAGTTCACACTTTCTCTTTTGCTAGATAGCTCGTATATGCTCAATGGGAGTTTTTCTGTACTTTGGATGCTCAAAGCTTGGTTAGAAACTTTCGTTTCAGCATATATTTATAGGCTTCTCCTGTTGATTAATCTCATCCGTTGGTTAGGATGATTTAATCTTCACCGTTGAAAATCTGGCAGTGACGAGTTGTTTATTCGTCTTCTTGTGCTGGATCATTTATTGAGGTTGTCTTCAATTAATTTAGCCACTGAAGACCCTTTTCAAAGAAACTTCCATGTGTGCGTTTAATGTTGTAGGTCCGTGTACATCAAATGCCTACCAATTTTGTCTTCAATCATATACATTCAATGTATATGATTTTCGAACCTACTATGTGACAGTTTAATTTTTGTGTGCAAATAAATTTATACTGGTAGGATTTAAATATCCTATTAAGGTAAATAAAAATTACCTTATTGCATTTTTAAATTTCCAGCATAATTTTATTAGTCTAAAAAATTGTACATTTATTTGTCACTTTATGTTTAGACTTGGAAAAATAATACTCGAAATAAATGAGACATAATGTACAAGTGTAGAGTATAGTGGCATCATCAAAATCTATCAAAATTGGGTACTAACAATTTCCCCCTTTTTGATGATGTTAAAACTATACAACACAGGAAACAAATATTTTTATTGATTTTCAAATCTAATGGTACATTGTTCTTAAGATCTAAAGTACAATAGTTTTTAGTCACTTTCCGACTTGGTTGCTCAAGTCTACTCTTGTTAACATCTTCTTATCTTTTCTTGGCTTCTTCCCTTGCTATGGCATCTTCTTCTTCTTTCCTTCTTCAGATTTCTTTTTCTTCTCGAAGTAGCTTATTCTTTCTTCTTGTCTCTACTGATTTTCTGGCTGCTAGTGATCTTGATGATGAGGGACCTGCTGGTGTTGTCCTTTCCCCCTTTTTGGCATCATCAGCAGGGGTCTCACCGTCCTTGAATAGTGCTTCGACCTCCGGATCAGAGTCCTGTTCTTCTTGATGTCTTCGTGCTGGATCGAAGCCATATACCTTCATGGATAATGCCTTTATGTAGTTGTGGATGTCCATGAGGTCAGTCTTTACTTCAAGTTCCAGGTCTTGAATCTTCTTCTTTGTGGATGCTAGCTCTTGGCCCATCTTCTGGAAATCGTCTCCTTGTTTCCAAAAGGTTTCTTGAGTGACCTTTTGGAGGACTTTGAAGATGTTAGCAACGTCCGTTGTAATTTGCCTGATCGCTTGAGCATGAGCTACCTGCTTCTCTACGAACTTTTTAGAGAGTTGGAAGATGGCAGGGAACTCTTCGGTCTTTAGCTTGTTGATGTATGCCTCATGCTCTTGAATTCTTTGAAGGGTCTGCTCAAGGTTAGGAGGTAAAGAAGGGAGAGAAGGTACCTGGGCAGAGGACTCTGCTGCCGGGTTGGAGGCACCTGCTTGCTCTTGGTTCCGCAGTTGCCTGATGTAGGTTTGGATTTGAAACTCCAGTTCTCCGTCTTTTGCCCTTTGATCTGTCAGCTCTTTGTGTATGGCTTCTAGTTGAGCTGGCTGCTGGGAGAGTTGTATCTTGAGTTGTGCCTTTTGTTCAGCATTGTAGACTTGCTAGATCATCAGGTTACTCTTGATGTGGCAGTGAACCTCTGCAAACCTCATCTCCGAAAGTTTGTCAAAATGCTTTTGCATTTTGATCAGTCTATTGTGTAGGCGAACCTCGGCGTTGCTAATGAACTTGGTGGTTGCTCTTCGTTCTTGGATGAAGATCTCAGCTAGTGTTGGAGTGTCCTCTGCCCCATCAGTGAGAGTTTGCTCCTTGAGTTCATTGGATGTTGTAGGCAGTTGCTCTGGGGCTTCTTCCTCTTGATAAGATTCCACGTTGAGATCAAGGAGTTGAGCTCCCTGCTGGAATGTGGCAGCCAACTGCTCTTGGGGAGCTTTAGAGGATTCTCCTCCTCCTTGAGTTTCTAATCTTGATTTCTCAAAAACCATTCTGAGTTCTTTATCACTAGAAGAGGATAAGTGGATTATTTGCTTACCTCTTGAACTAGGTGATCCCTTAGGACCATTGACAGCATCATCATCATGCCATAAAAAGGTAAGGGTAACGCATCTATCATGAATTAGTTTGATCCAAGTCATTGTCTATTTATTTTTTCATATTTAAATTATTTAATTGCAATAGTAATCAAATTGATCGATGTGAATAAGGTGGGTAGATGCACAAAATATGCCTTATATTAATAGGGAGCAATACTTTTAGCCTAAAACTCTGGGAGCTTAACAGTCTTAACACCCTCTAGCCACAACCTTGTTCATAAGAATCACAACCGTGTACATTAGTTATTATTGGGTACTTAACTCCATATTTACCAATGAAACTCCGTATTTTGTCTTCGAGGTTATCAAATGAAGACCAAACACTCAGGACACGTTTACTTCACGGGTTCATAAACAATGCTTAATAAAATTCACGTTAATAAGCGGTGCATAAAATAAGCAGTGTTGTAAGCTCGTGTTTACTTCAAAGGATTTAAAACACCGTTTAACATTAAAATGTTCAAAATAACCCTATAGATATATACACACACAAACATTCATGAACACAAGTATATAATATAATATGTGGGGTCACCTCGTACGCTTAGTCGCTTACCCACACCCTTAACCCCTACCCCGCCCTGTACCCCCACTGATGAAATGGTTAGCAACACAAGAGAGGGGGGGGGGTGAATTGTGTGTGTGTGTGGAACCGTGACAGTTTTTCGCATAGTTCTAGTGTGGGGTTCAGAGAAATGCGAAATAGTAAAGTGCACAAGGATTTAACGAGGAAAAATTCATTAGCTCAAAGGGATTAAAAAACCTCGACCTCCCTCGAAGGAATTTTAAACAACTTCACTAAAAAGCCTTTTGTGGTTACAAGGTAAATTCTCCTAATCTACCCTTGAGCCACCCCAACTCTATCATCTCTAGGAAGAGTTATGCATCTCTACCTTGCGGGTAAAGAGTCTCTCAGCTTTACAACAAAGCACTCACACACACGACCCCAACCCGAGGAAGCTACACTTTAGCTTTTCCTCAAAATCTAGTTACAAGATAAAGAAGGGAAAAGAAACTATATCTAGAACTTCGTGAGCAGGTCCGGGTGTCTTGGTCTTGATAATTCTTTATAAGTATTTCTCTCTGTAATTGCTCGGTCAAGCACACCTCTTCTTCTCTTTGTAATACTTGAGATTTAATTTAAACAGATTAATAGTACTACTCATACCAATAAGGTGCATCTCCTTTTAAGGGAGCTCATTAACCAAGAACTCCAAAGTTAAACGTGCTTGCACGAGAGTAGTCTTGGGATGAGTGACCCTCTAGGAAGTTTCTCAGGGCGCGCACGAGTGAGGACAAAGTGTGCTGAAAAGGTTAGTGGCGGTCCTGTGAGGACAGTATTAGAGGTCAGAAGTAACTACCTCGGGACCTGCGGGGCCGGGGTGTTACACTCTTGGTCTTCGACTATATATATAGCCCAGAAGATGTCCATTGATTCTCCTTTCCTTGGAAGCTTGGTAGACTTTCCTTGATATTTTTGAATTACTTTTCTTCCACTGGTTTCTCTCTTATTCATTCAATCAAGAGTAAATCAACTCATGATTTACGCAGCATTATATAAGGAAACACGGATTCACTTATCATGTAAATATGCAATGGATTTTAAGTAGCAATAAAATATTTATGCAATTAAGTCACGCTACAATAATATCCTTACCAAAAGAGTTTTCAGTTGACCTTTATGGAAAGATAACTTGTTCTCTTTACATATATAAAAATGTTACAGTCAATTATTATTAAAGTGGCAAAGTACTTATTTATGTGACACATATATAGGTTAAGTCATTAAAGTAAATGCTTAGTCATGTATGAGAGATGTGCCACGTAAATCATGATTCTTTCCACAAATATTCATTTGATATTCAAATCAAGAATGACTTTTGAAATTGTATGCCAATAAATATTTGTTAATCAATTACAAGCATGCTACGTATATAACCAATAAAATATGGATCATGCACTCACATTAAGTAAAGATACTTTCTATAAAGTATTTAAACAATATTTAATGAATGGATGTCTAGTCAAGTATGGAAAGATAATAATCACCCAAATAAGTACTCATACGTATATATAGAGTGGACATGCATAGAAAGATACTTTTGCTAAAAATAATATTCTTGACAAAGTATAAGCACTCATATAAGGAAAGTATATTATTTGAAAATCAAGTAGGTGCAATCAATATTAATTCAAATCATATCACGAAACTAGAAATGGTTCTGCATTAGTTCCTCCTGCATGGTTAGTCAACAACACACTAATAATATCCATTTGGTCCTAAGGATAGTTCTGTCCTTTGTTTCGTAAGGAACTGTGAGCGGTTCTATCCATCGTTCCACCTGCATGGTTAGTTATCAACAAAACAACATACTCAACACCCACCCTCACCCTACCCCCAATTCCACACACTTGACCCCCACCCCTTCCCTACCCCTACCATTACCACGACCTTACCCTCCACCCCTACTCCCACCCATACCAACCCCCCACCCTACTCGTAGGGGTTGGGTCAAGGTAGGGGCAGGTGATACGAGGTAAAGGGGTAGGGGTCGGGGTATGGT